GCTTCTCACTATTTAATGTGGCTTCTTTGGTTGGAGCGCAATAGGCGGGTTTTCCAAGGGGTATCACACTCAGTTCCTTAGTTGGAGAGACGGTTGCTTATGGTGTTATATAATTGGGTTACGGGGTTGGTTGATCCGAATATTTTGGCTTTTGTAGATTTTATGGAGGATTTATTATCTTAGTTTCTCTTTAGGGGCCTAATTTTTGTATTATTTGCATCTTTTTGATACTTTTCTAATAAAGTTCGTATATTTATCAAAAAAATATATAAGAAACAACAATTAATTTAAATAATAAGTAAACAATAACAACTAATAGTTGTTAAGAAATAATTAATGTAAAAAAATAAGAAACTAATAAATTTAATTAAATTAAATAATGTTGCCGACTGACGAATGTCATAGAAAAAATAATTTCTTCAGATAAAAGTTTCTTCTTGCACACTTATAATTGCTACTTAGAGATGAGATTTTAAAATTAATTGAAAGAGTTGAAAGTTGAGAGTCGAGAGAGATTGATGAGAGTTTGAGAGAGAGAATTGTTTATGGAAAATAAAATGGAAAAGGGAGACTATTTATACGAGTTTAGGAGGATAGAGTCAATTTATAAATAAATAATAAATAAAAATGAACTGATGTGTTAAACGATCATGTGATCGTTTGAATTAAATTTATTTAATTATTTATTTTTATCATTAGTTTATAGCAATAGACATTTGAATTATTATTATTTATTTTATTTTTATTTTTATTTTTATTTTTTTGTTGTTAGTAGTAGAGGTGAGCATGGTCCGGATTTGATCGGATTGGGGTAAAACCAGGACCAATCCGTTATTTACGGTTCCTGAAAAATTGGAACCAATCTAATTCGTTTAAATCATGGAACCAATCCGAACCAATCCATTTAAATACGGATTGGATCGGTTCAGGACCACAGATTTACATAATTAAATAACAAAAAATATATATATATATATAACACTTTAATTTCATAAAAACATAAACATAGCGCTATATTAGTTGCACAATAGCAACATGTCTTTCTATAATAGTGACATACTGTTCTAGAATTTAAACAAGCATAAGAAAATTAGTTTCACCATAAGTATTTAGACCATTACAAATTAAAACTAAAAACTAACAAACAAAAGTAATAAAAGAAGATATGATGCGGGTATAGGTTTGAATTTAGTTTTATATGGAATAAGAGAAGATACTATGGGGGAGGATGTATAATAAAAATATAGACTATTTGTATATGGGCTAGATCGGTTCCAATTCGGAACTGTGGAGTTCAATCCGGAACCAATCCGTGGACTACGGATTTTTAATTCTTCAATCCGGAACCGAACTACGGATTCAAAAAACCAATCCAAACATATTGAATTGGACTAAACTGAATCAGATTACGAATTTCACGAATTCTTTACTCAGCCCTAGTTAGTAGAGCAACCGAGTAGCGCAACCGTCTGAAGGAGTAGACAATGAATATTATTTTTTTTTTTTAAATTTTGACTGTTGCTCTGTTAGAGAGAGAGGAAAGGCAGGTGGGCTGCCAGGCCAGACTGCCGGGCCAGCAAGGCGATTTAAGCTGCAAAATATCCGTTCAAGCCCAAGCTCAAGGTTCCAGACCCACCTCAGGCCATGAATAAATTTTGGACCACCTACGAGTCTTACCGGCCTTTACCAAGGGCACTATTACCTTGAGTTAACAGATTTTGATCTGCTTGTTAAAACAGACTTAAATTATCGAGATTAGTCGAACAGGACCATATAGTCCGAACTGAACTGGGGCATAATTAGTTTTATGTATGTATGAATCAAAAGGAACTACTTACCTAAAAAATGAATCAAAAGGAACTTGAGAAGGAGGGTTGACCGAACTGAACGGGGACGTGATCAATGATGTCAGCATCAACCAATTGTTTTTTTTTGAATTATTTTGATCATATCATAAGAATTTCAGCATTACATTTTGAGGGAAAAGTGTAGGGGAAGAGATTGTTACTTTACGCTCAACTATCAATTTGGACAATTACCCTAAGGTTTCATTTGGTTCACAATGAGTAAGAATGGAATAGAATGGAATGAACAACATTCTTGAAATGGTGAATGATAATTCTATTTGTAATATATTTTGTCCCTATTTTGTTAGTCAACCAGACATAGAAATGAACATTTTGATGGAATGATAATTTCATTCTATTTCATTCAAGTGAACCAAATACTACCTAATATTAATCCCAAACCATTAATGATGTTAATATTTTTGATAATATCAAACATGGTGGCACATACGAAATTAATTAAGAGTATTGATTCACTTTGCCCCATGGTAAGAGCATCTCCGTTCCTTAATTTTTTACTTTTTTTTTTTCATCAAATTAAATTTGATGAAAAATTATTCAAAAATATCTGCAATCCATTCATCAAATGTTCATTAATGTAAAACCCAAGTTGTGTGTAGGATTATTTTATTGGATAGATTAGTAATTAAATTAATTTATATGGGTCATTTATTAATATCAAAGAATTAGTTATGAGATGGCATTATATTTCCTATTACTTAGATGGGTAATTTTGTAACTTTGTGAAATTAGGTTAATAAGCCCACCTATTGTGGCTTTAAGTCTTGGAAAACAAACAAAACAGAGGCTATGAATTGCTCCATAGGCGGCTAGGGTTTGAGAAGGTAAAAGAAAAAAGAAAAGAAAAAGAGAAGAGAGGTTCAAGTGAGGCTACAATAGGGATTGAAGGCAGCACGTTGGTGATATTTGGGACACCCATTTGTTAAGGTAAAATCTGTCTTTACTGTTAATTATTAAGTTTATGTTAAGGAATTTAACAATCAATGCATTAAGGAGATTTAGAAGATCTATAGGTGCCTACTTAGGTTTTGAGAATTGGGTGCAATGTGTAAGTGTAACTTTGGATGGGTAATAGAAACAATGGAGTTTTGTATCATGGGTAAAGGTGTGTTTGGCTATAAAGTTGGGTTGAATGGTTTGATCTCTTGGATATTAAAGTAATACATTAATCTAATATAATGGTGCTTTTGTGGGTGTTTGTAACATGTAAAAAATATTAATTTATTTGAAGTTTTATTTATTAGGTTTGTGTGATTGAAGTGGTGAAATTGGGTGTTTGGAGTTGGTGTTGGAGTGTTATTTCTAAGGGTTTGAGGTAAGTAACCCTCTATCACTGTTGGTTCATTTTTATTCCTATCGAATCGTTTAAAATCATAAATATTTATTTATATCCTTCATGTTCTCTTAAAATAAAATATGGGTCAAGTATAAAACAACATCGAATATTATTATGAAAATTATTTGAATATTTGATGAAACTATTTTGAAAATTGTACTAAACATTTATTCTGAAAATATCGAATGTTTTATTTGAAAGTTGTGTATTGTTTGAATTTTGAACATCACTCTAGTCTGACTATGATTTGGACCCTAGCCAATGGGGGTTATTTATTGGCACAGAAACTAGTTTCTTTTGGGGCTTTACCACCGGCATATGTGTGGTTCGGGGCCTTGTCACAGGCTAAGTGACCGTAGTCACCAAGACTTGGGTTTTGTGAATTGCATCATTGAACCATTTAATTATCGAACCATCAATTTTGAACAACGAAATTTCATCGAATTACCTCATTGTCTTTTCAATTAAAATGTATTGCTACACTGTTTATTTTCAGCTACGAAACATCTTACAAAATAATTGTTCATTTATTGAATGGTAGCAAAAAAATATATTTATTGGTTGTCGACTATTTTTTTTGTATACTTGATCCAGCTAATAGTGATGGTTGGTTATTTACTAGGCTGTCTAGCTTACCCTTATTTTATTTTTTTCAGATTTTGAGGAGTAGAGCTGTGCAGGGTTTTTACTTGTGGGAGTGCCGAGAGTAGGACTATGATTTAAGTATTTGGATCATTATTATTATTATTATTTTTATTAGTGGACTTGGTGGACAATTTCATATGATAAGAATTATCTATTTGTATGGTTTTTAGCATTATGATATTTAAAGATTTAATTTGAGTATTTTACATTGTTGGTTATGTGTTGGATTCTTAGCCTTGCATGCTCACTTAAATGAGTGTGCGGCGTTGTCACGGAGCTTGGGCGTGACAATTTTATGGTATCAGAGCCAGGTTGTGATTTTAAAGGCTGGTATAGAATAGTAGTGAGATTGGGTAGATGTAGGATTGGGAACGCTTATAATTTGGTAAAATGTTAATTTTATTTACGTGTTATAGGGACTTTGGAATAGAATAAGATGAGGTTTTATTATTGATGCATATAGGTTGCAATGGAACGTGAGGAGACATTGGCAAATATGGCTAGGAATACACGCTAGGGAACATCGTCTAAACTCTTATAAACATCGGTGTCTATTGAAGGATGTATATCTCTTGTTCTGTGCAATTATTTTATTTATCTTGGATTGGAACCATATGCATTTAACATTACCCGTCATAAGTACTTTTCATTTTCAAAAGCAGCAGCCACATGCAGCATCCAAGAAGACCACCATGCTCCACATGCACTTGTGAAGCACAAAATCACACACTCATCAAAAAGAAAGAGGAAGCAGCTGTATGATCCAAGCGCCCCCGTATCTTGCTCTCGATTGCCAATGCCTTTTCTTCCCAGCCATCAACCTTCCCTTAAACCCTGGCCACCACAACCATCCAAACCCCTGTCGTGACCCAAACCCCATCCAAGCCCCTTCAGTGCAAGTATCACATGAGTGCATAGTGCAAGTGACAAGTTTGACAGTCGACAGGGTTTGCACTTGTACTGGGTACACATTGCACTTGCATCAAGCATAGGTGCCACTTGTACCAAGCACATTTGGAAGCAGCAGGAGTAGGGACTGTCGGGTTGTAACGGAGAGGGGTGGAGTTGGGTTGTTGCAGTGGTAGCTAGGATGTGGAGGGAGGGGCTTGTTGAGTGGGGTTGGGAGGGGCTGGGAGTAGCAGGAGAGCGACATGGGGGTTGTGGGGAGTGTGGTGATGGTGGAGGGGCTAAGAATGGTGGGAGAGGGCGGCAGTGGAGGTGCTAGATACCAAGGGAGGCTTATGCAGAGGTGGACGGACCTGTAGAGAGTGCTTGGGTTGTCAATAAGAAAGGAAGAGGGCTGAGGCTTTACCAATTAAGTTTGTTTGCACCATTGAAATATTGATAATTTGTACCTTCAAAAATCTTATAACTAAAAAAACATTGCCATCAACATAAAAGGTTTTGGTTTTTCTTTTATTTATTTTTCATTTTTTGTTTTCAGATACTTTAAAGAACTATTATAGTTTCATGTTAAATTTTTTATGCACTCAGTATATGCATTATAATTCTTATACCTTGTGGAATGACTCTTGTATCTTACAGAAAATGTGGGTTTAGAGAGTAAATTTGGCCATGTATTTAGAAGGTCCCTAGGGAAGGGGGGAAAAACCAGTCACACAACCTTGACCTAGTGATCAGGGATAGGTTCGTGTAATGTGAATTGTGAATGTGTTTATTACTCAATCCATTTTCATTGAACCTTTCTTCTTGCAGGTATCAAAACTAGGGTATGGCTGCATGGGGCTTTCTGGAATCTACAACTCTCCTGTCTCTGAAGAGGATGGCATTGCAATAATAAAGTACGCATATAGTAGGGGGATCACATTCTTTGATACCTCTGATATTTACGGTGTTGTCCATGCAAATGAAATATTGGTGGGAAAGGTAATTACATCAGGACATGTTTTTTATTGCAATTTTGATAGTCCACCATGCTTTCTTGGAGCAGAACAAAACTTGGAATACATTAAAAATAATTCTGCACGTGGATTTTGACTCCGTATTGTTTATAAGCTTGGTCGACTGTTGAAGGGATTGTGGTGGGAAGGATGGTACTTTGAAATGTAAATAGAATTTGTTTGTAAGTGTGGATTGTGAAGTACAAAGTTTCACTTTTAAGAATATGATTCATTGAATATTGGTCATTTGCATGTGCCATATGTTGACAAGTGTGATTTCTAATTAATGATTCTAACTAAATATGCAACTGCTCCCTAAACTTCTACTTTAGCCTAATTTTCTTTTTTGGTTAGCTATTTCCTAAAATACATCTTTTTTGTTGTTGTTGGGAGTGCTCTTTCATTTAGTAGAACCTGAATCGTGCAGGCACTAAAGCAGCTGCCTTGGGAAAAGATCGAATTAGCAACAAAATTTGGTATTGCCAAAATTGAACCTACCCATGTTGTGGTGAAAGGCACCCCTGAATATGTTCGCTCCTGTTGCGAGGCAAGCCTGAAACACCTTGGTGTGGACTACATTACACCGGATTGACACATCAGTACCTATAGAGTATGTCTTGGTTCTTCTTTCCGATAATATCAATACACCCTAAAGTTTACTGGTTTATTTTTCTTTAAAAGAAAAGGGGGAGGTATTATTGGAGTTTGAATAATTTTTTTATTAGTATTATTTGTAATTTTTTGTGTATGTCATGTTTGAGTGAAATTTTCTTCTTGAATGGCAGATGGGGGAACTTAAGAAGTTGGTGGAAGAGGGTAAAATAAAGTTCATTGGATTATCTGAAGCAAACCCAAACACAATAAGGAGGGCACATGCTGTTCATCCTATCACTGCTGTACAAATGGAGTATTCTCTTTTTACTCGTGACATTGAGGAAGAAATAATCCCAGTTTGCAGGTTTATTCACATTTCACCCAAAATTTGTTCAACTTAACTTGGTTTTGGTTTCATTCGCATTTTTCTTCAAAAAAATTGAGGACTGTCTAAATAGCTGTTTTATTTTAATAATTAACAAATTGACTCGCAAAAAAGAAGTTTATATGCAAAAGACTATTTAGCTAGCAGTTTTTGAAATTCAATTTTCTATAAGCATATTTGTGACTTCTTCATTAGAGTTCACATCTTAAGCTTCCAATAGTTCAATTTTCATCTAATTTAGTCCCAATTTCATTTGTTTATCCTTTTATCTTAGGCTTACATATTCTTGTAAATTGTGCTCTGATTATCAGGGAACTTGGAATTGGTATAGTTCCATATGCTCCGACTGCTCGTGGGTTTTTTGGAGGAAAGGCAGCTGTGGAAAGTGTACCTGCAAATAGTTTCTTGGTATGGAATGCATCTTTGTTTTTTAAGATTCATTTAGGATGTGTACCTGCACATTTTATTTTATTTTATTGTATTTCTTATTGCAATGAATTAGGCAAAAAGAATGAATGTCTAACATTTAAAACATTTCTATCAGCAATCACAGGACGAATCTAGAGCAGAACAAGATCTTTTATACTCGAATAGAAGCATTAGCTAAAAAGCATGGATGCACCCCTATCCAACTTGCGCTTACTTGGGTTCTTCATCAAGGGGATGGCGTGGTACCTATTCCAGATTAGCAACTCATCAAAATTTTACTTATTCAGTGTAGAGTATACTTTTTCTTTTCTTTTTCTTTTCTTTTTCTTTTTTCCTTTTCTCATTTTTTTTTTTTTTTTTTTTTTTTTTTTTTTTTTTCCTTTTTTTTTTTTTTTTTTTTTTTTTTTTTGGTTGTTGAAAATCTATCAAAAATGAAAAGTGATTAGAAAAATAGAAACATGTCTGATATGAAACATTGACACTGGAAGTGCCTTCCTTTGCAATTTAAAAGAGGTTTTCCTTTTTAAATAAGTGCTAGAAACCGGATTCAGTACAGGAAAGAAATTTATTAGTAAGCACTAAAATCTAATATTACTACTAAGCAGATTGTGGCACTGTTTTCATCTGCACCTTACTTTGTCCTCTCAGTTAACCACAATATGTTGGCTAGTATATCCTATATGCCATCTAATGTTTGTTATTTACAGGATCAAAAGGTGTAATTTTGTATAGATGTAATTCATAACTTTTAATTATTTCTCCCCAATGGCAAGTTTTTTCATCCTGGTAAAATTTATGTCAAAGATGTCATTGTGAATATTCATCCTGGGTATATTTTTGACCAATTGTTTCAATATGCAACTCTTTAATACTGAATGACCAACAACATACAATCATGTAAACAGCCATCATGGACGAAAATAATGACTCGCTCATACATGGGTATACCATGTCCAAAGTTTTGTTAAATAGAATATACTGGTTTCAATTTCTAGACATGTGTATTGTTTCTTTGGTCATGCATGGATACATCCATGTCCAAAGTTGTGTGAACAGATCCTAGCCCTATATTCTGATTTTCTAGACCATTGGTTTGCTTAGTCAGTAGAACAAGGAAACAGCCAAGGACATGCACTATCTGAGAATGCTACTTTTTCATCAATCTTTGCTCTATCTCTCTCTTTTTCATTTTTATTTTTTTTTTGTAAATTTCCTAAGGTTATGTTTGGATGATAGATTTGGTAGAAATTTGGAAAGAGAAAGGAAAAGGTGAGGGAAATAGAGAAAGAAAAAAAAAAAGCTTTTATTTCAATTGTATTTCCCTCGTTTTTTCTTTCCCTTCCACAAATCTTTACTCAAATTCTAGATCCAGACCTAAGAATACAGAATAATTTTTTTTACATTTACTGCCCAGCTAGCTATTGATATGTTCGTTTGATGCTTCATTACTAGCATGGAAGTGTTTATTATTCTTCTAGGCTGGAAATGCTTTTGACTAGATCTTGTTAGCTTGCCAAATTTGCTCCTAACTATTCTATTTCTAATTCTTTTCAATTGTTGTTTTCTTTTGAATGGCTACGTTATCTTTTCTCTCATTGTTTGTAGGAACGACTAAGATAAAAAAGTCTTGAAGAGAATATTGGTGCAGTGAGAGTGAAGCTCGATGAAGATGGTCCAAAGGAGATTTCTGATGCAGTGCCTGTCAATGAGGTGGCAGGGGCTAGAATATATGGAAGTCTTATCAATGTCTCGTATAAGTTTTCAGATATACCACTGCCAAAGGATGCCAAGTGATCTGCTGGTGGAATATTTGATGTTGTTTTTGTGTTGTGCTGTCTTGTGTTTGTTGCTATTGGATGTCGCCTTTAATTAGAAGATTGTGACGTTAGTCTGTTTTTTGTTACCAATTAATTGTATAATGCAATATGTTGAACAAGACGCCAAGACTTATGTTAAATTCCTAAAATGTAATTGTACACAAATTTTGAGGCTTGCAATAAAGATGTGAAAAAGTAACACAAATATTCAATTTATTAGTTGTGATAAAGTAAGTACAATTCTCTATGGTTTGTTCTATTAAAAGAGAATAACATCCTCTTATTTAATCTCCGGAATGGGGTTCAATTCAACAAATGTAGGAACTTTTACTCAAAATGTAGAAACTTCTTGTATTAAATGAGTTGATAAATTTCCAATAAAAGAGATATTTGTCTCACCTTTTATAGAATTAATTTGACATGGAGTTTGAATTTGAATTTGTCAATCATTTTTTGCTTTTAAAAGATCTTGACAAAAGTTCTTGTCGGCTCGCATTTTTGGGTTGAATTAATTGTTCGACCTAATTGTCAAAACAGGTCACGTCAAGGTGTAACTTAGATATTTTATTTTAGTTTTTGGCCGACTTCAAGAGACAACATATACGATTTTCTCACTGTCATCTTTTACCTGGTCTTTGCATTGTCTTGTTAGTACAATGGCACGCCTTTTAACTTTGAGGAGACCATCATTGCTAACTTAAAGTGACATGATTCACTTCATGCGAGAAGGGACCAAGCTTCGGGTTTTTTCATCTTCTTTAGTTGCGGAGCGACCTTGACTTCTTTCAACTTTCTTGTTTGCTTTATCTTTTTTTGGTTGTGCATCTTTGTTTTCAAGTCGAGAAAAGGCTGCCTCCATGGATGAAATGTTCCTCCTTAGTTGAAAATGCTCAGCTTGTCAACACTGAAGTGTGAGGTAGAGAAATTTCAATATGGTCAAAGACTGAGACTCAATTAGTTGTGCCTTCTTCATTATTCGTGACCACGTAAACTGTCTTGACCAAATCATTATTGAACTACCTTTTTGGAAAGAAGTCATGTAGGGTGGTTGGTGCGGACGAACTTTGCTCAAGCAAACTTGTTTGCTTGCAGTATTCCCTTTACACCATTCCTTCTGTGTTGTTGATGAAAATTCTTTTGCTTTTGAAATTTGAGGAAACCGAGTCTTGGACTTGTCTTTTTGTATAAGAATCCAACCTTCATCATCCTTTATAGTTGGAACTTCTTCAATGTAAGGATGGACAAACATTTCTTAGTTGGGGACTTGAATCGTTATAGGTCCAAGTGAATCAAACCAGATAATTTTGGAGATTGCCCCAATATTAGAGTTCAGGGTTGTAATATTTTCTCTTTATAGTTTGAAGTTGTAGTGCTTGGGGATAATGACGACAGTATAGTTGGACTCCGCAACTTCCTCATGATCAAGTTAGATTTTGTTCTTCTTTCCAATATAACAACCAGTGAACCCCAACAATGCCCATCACTCATATGATGAAGCCACAACGAACATAAAACATAACATTTCTATAATAACCAAGAATAGAAATAACAACTGTGCTATCAACACAATAAGGCACAAGAAAATCCACAAATTTGCAATTTCATTATGTTATAACCATTATTATAAATTATTAGCTACATGAGGCATATGCACACACAAACGAAGAATCCACAATACATTACCACAAGCCACTTTTGATCGCGGCCTGGTCACGGCCCCTCTCAAGCGCGACCTTCACACTCGCAGGCGCGAACAACTCAGCACAGAAAACTCTGGGTCATTGCCAGCAACCAACCCATGGTACCACACGAGTTCAAACCTCTCAGAATAGACAAAGTTACCTGGGACAACCCCGTGTCCTAACTAAAAGTCGGGTTTTTCTAACATATTCAATCAATTAGTTAATTTAGGGTAATTTGAAAATACACCTTCTAAAGTTTATTTAAAATACGAATTGTCTTCTGTGGTTCTGAAAATTACATCTCATCCCCTGAAGTTTGTAATTTTATAACAAATAACTCATTTTACTAATAAATCATTAAATCAATTAACAATTTTTAATGATATCAAAAATTTATATCAATTAATATTTCAAGTAATTTTATTATTGTGTAGGAGAGTAGTTAGAAATTTTATTTTTTCACTTAATTTTGTAAAATAAAAAATTCTAACAAGGGGTATTTATAATTTTTCAAATAACAATAGACAATTTATATTTTAAACAAATCTTAAGAAGTGTATTTGTAATTTTCTCTAAATTTTAAAGAAAAGTGAGTTAGACATAAGGTTCCCAAAAACAAAAATAAAACAAAACAAAAAAAAGTCTCTCTGGTAGGTAAAATGAACTAGAGGTATTGTAGTTGGGCTTTTGTGGGCCACCACGTGACCTCCTCGATGATTTCAATTATTTGTATTGAAAGGCATGTCAGGAAGATTACGTTTGTAAAAAAATGCTTTTTTACATTATGTTTATCTTTAAAGGAATAAATGTTTAAAAATCAAAATTATAATTGATGTCAATTTTTTATTTTTATTTTTAATGACCAATATAATCTAAACATATGATTATAATTGTCTATACAATTTGAAATTTTTATATTTTTAAAATGAATAGTTTAAAGTATCAAATAAATCCAGAGGCCATGGAGGCCCAACAACAGCTCCACTTTGTTGAAGCTTTTCAATATTGCACACACCCTCCTTACTTGTCATTGCGTCACGTAATTAAGGCCTATTTTGACAACATAGTTAGAAGTTAATTTTTTAATTTTTTAATTTTGTTTGACTCACATCACCTCTCTGCTTTTTTATACGTTTTCTAAAAAAAGTCAAAAAGTTAACTTTTAACTTTTTTTTTTTTTTTTTTTTTTTATAGGAGAATCCTCTCACTCTCTTGCAAGTCCAAGGCAACGCCTCTCACAGATATCACCAAGGTATCCTGTTGTCCATTTCGAGCAAGAGACTATAACCTGAGAACTTGCCCCGACCGCCCAAGACAAGTTTCGCTTAAGTTAGGACTCGCGCAGCGAGGGAATATCAAACCCACACCAAGTGATGTGGTAACAACAACTTGAGCCTTAACCTCCTAACCAATTGTGCAACGCCCGGGGAATTGGCCTAAGGAGTTTCGAACTTAAGACTTGGAATTCCCAAGGGTGTAATAATGGCTTGACCCAGCCTATCTGGGGCCAGGCTCTAGCTCGAGCCGGCTCGTGGTGGGGGCTTTTGCTATTTTGGCAGGTCGGATCAGGCCAGCCTGAGGCCAGAAAGTGAGGCGCAGGCCCAAGCCCACTCAGAATATGGCCTAGGGCCAGACTTGGTGACCTTTTTTTTTTTTTTTTCGAAAAATGAACAATAAATATATTATGTATATAGATTATTTATGATGGATAAAAAATAAAAGAAATTTTGTACTAGAGTATTTTAGTTAAGATTACTACGATGTTTGGTTGTGTTTCATGCGTGATCGTATTTAAATTTAATTATGTATGACTTACGTTTTTTTAGTTATGAACTTATGACTAAAAAAGTATGAAATTATGTAAATTTCTTCTTTTGAAATGAATGATTTTATATATATCAAAATGAAACTTTTAATATTACAATCATTAAATTAAATATATAATATTTATTGAATGAATAATTTTTATCTCAAAATGAAATAAAATATTTTAAAAATTTATATCATTAAATAAAATATATATAAATTATTGATGAAGGTAGAGCAATTGCATCACTATATGTCAAGTACATCCCAACTAGATTGACACCTACTAGCCTATTTATCATTTGCATTATACTCCACATCAATAATCTAATAAAAAAAAATAACAAAATGAAATAGTAAAAAATAAATTATTGATCAATCATTAGAGGAGGCAGACAATTCATTTGTGTTGCCCAAGGATATGTCATCCAAATCGCTTTGAATTCGCTC